CCATAACGAATGGTAGGGCAGAAACGCTAATAGCGAAAATTCTCTCCCGCTATCGGTCGCGCTCGAATGCAATGGTCTTATCCCTGTTCGCTGAGGCTTTCCCACCTCTCATGCAAAGTGACCTGGAAGAAATAGCCGTGAAAACGCAGCAGCGTTGTGACTATCCGCGTTTTCCTGGAGGGCAAGGACATCAATATTCGCGTGGGAAGAAGGAGAAATTGCTTCAGCAAATTCACAAATTTGTTACGTGAACCGGTCGCAGAAGCCTGCTCGTTCCGGCAGCGTATGTATTACAGTTAGGCATTTTCTATAACATTACTGTCGTTGGTAGACTGCGAGTTATATTAACTTTCGATTCAGGTCGGGTAGGGGACTGGAGGCGGGCCCGCGCGCGGGGTGTTCAGGAACCCCAGAATGAGTAGCCAGAATGCCTACGAAAACTTCATAGCGGCTAAGCACTGTTCCTCTTTTCATCCCTTACCTAATCCAGTTTCGAATGTTTCAGGGCTCCACGAGTGGTGCAGTCAACGTTTGCAAATATGCAGGCGTTTTGCCATTCTGCAGAATGCTATGCTGTTGGAGCCAGTAGCAACGAAACCCGTTGCCTGCTTGTTGGTAAGTTGTGAAATTCCATCCTGCCTATTCAAGCATTGGAAACTTTAGGAGTTGCCCAACATGGTTGCAAGAAGGCAAAACGCACTGGAGCGTGCGCAGAGCTTTGGGGCCCCCGGCCACGACCTCATCTGCATCCACTCGCCGACATTGGAGAAGGTGCAGAAGCAGCATTACTGGCGAGGATTTACGTAAGCATTGCGTCATCCCATGTGCTCGTCGTCAGTGAACATATGGGACATATTGCAACTCCAAGTTGCTAGTTGTATGTCATGGGGGCTCGATCTTACCGAACATCAATGCCAGACCCCACGCGAGCCCATGGAATTGATTTGGACCAGTGGGTGTCTCATTGGAGTTTGGACTTACCTCTTGAAACTTTGATCCCACTGAGTAATATAAGGCTCTCAAAAGGGGGGGGGGAGAGGCTGGGGACCGCGTCTGTCGCGCAGTCTCCAGGGTGCAGTCTCCAGTGTGCAGCCTTCAGTCGGCAGTCTTCACTGTGCAGTCTTCAGCGTTCAGTTTTCAGTTTCCGTCTTCGCATTTTTCTATTTCTCGCCCCGGCCTGTATAACACATTCGGGTTCTCTAATACGCATAAGCACTCACGCATAAGTTCGGTTCCCATAACCTACTGTTATATTTTTTCCTGTTGCAGTAAATAACGCTGTTCTGTTTCCCTTACATAAATTGTTGCTCGGTTGCGTCTATTGGGAAGGCGACACACAATTATACCGCGTGGCACGACTATACTATACGCATATATTGCTAAAGTGGATAGTCTCTTTATTTGGTGCATCGGCTATAAGCGAAAAGGAAGAGGTTAGTTCCCAACTACCAACGCATAAGATTTTTCTTTCGTTTCTATTCGCACAAGTTTTACAAATTTTTCTTCCGTTTCTATTCGCATAAGTTTTCCACATTTTTCTTCACCTTTGATTCGCATAAGTTTTCCACGCAAAAACTTTTGAAAAAAAAAGGGGGAAAATGTCCAGCAATTCGGCACCCATCAGACTCCGCTCGCAAAAAGGCCTTTTAACGCGATATTGTAATAACTTGAATGAAATAATCGAGAGATGCGAGGGAGATAGCACATTGAAAAGGCTTTCTTCAAGTTCCACTACCGGCGATTTTGAACGCATAACTTCACTAGCGTATGAGCTGCAAGCTACAGCGCGATTACTTAGCGACCATTTAGCAACATTTGTGAGTACAGTTGATTCACTATCTGGTTCGCTCACCAAAGAACAAGAAGATCAGGCCGTAGAGTACATGGAAAACGCACATACCGCAATTGATCGCGCCGAGCGGCTAGCTATTGAACTTGAAGCTAAACGCATAAGAATACGAGAAGTAATGCACACCGATAGGACACCCGCACCGAGAACACAGGGGCAAGAGTTAGGGCAGCACGAAACCAATCCACCGAAGCTCCCTACCATTCCCATCCCAAATTTTGATGGAAAAATATGGGAATATGAAAACTTTTGGACGCTTTTTCAAGTCAAGTGTTCACAACCAAACTCGCTCACTAAATTACGAAAATTCAACTATTTGTTGAGTCGCTCCAGGAGAAGCTCAGGCCGAACTAATTAAATGCGATACCCAGCACAGACGACAATTATATATGCTGGCAATTGATCTCATAAAAAAGAAGTATGGCAACAAGGCGGAACTCGTGAGGGTACTGCAGAAACGCCTGGACAACGCGAAAGCAGACAAACCCTCGACCCAAGGGCAAAGGAAGCTACTGGAATATATCATTCCCCTGGTTATGCAGCTACACAAATTAGAAGTGAATCTGGACGGCTCGTACAACACCCAAAAAGTGTTGTCCAAGTTTACACCTAGAATCACGCAAGGTCCTTGAGGACCTAACGACCCAAGGTATGTCGGAAAATGCATGGAAAATGCAACGCATCGTTGACGCACTGGACGCACAAATAGCAACGGAGGAGCGCATCAACAACATGGTGAGTAGTTACATCAACAGAGATACAGAACGGTGTAATGATTTTCAAGAAGGGAAGCCAGGGAAAAACATCACACAACCCAAATTGCACATTTGTGTAGGCGTCAATAGAAAACACAGAAACTCGCCAAGCTGTTCACTTTTTAAAGCACTAATCACCGGAAAGACGCAATTTTCTTCAAGAACACGGCATGTGCCTGAATTGTGGACGCGAAGGTCATTTCGCATCAAACTGCACAAAAGATTGATGTAGAAACTGTCAAGGGAAGAAACATTTTCACGCGTTATGTCCTCGGAGACAAACGAATGCAACCGTCACGAAACAGTTCACACGCCAACAAAACCGGAAGAGGCCAAAACACAACATGGGCCAACGCAGAGAAATAGTCAAAATTCTCAAAACAAACACGCGCACCCGATCCAAATTGGTACCACAAGCCAAGAGGAAAGACACTATCATGGCATGGGCAGACAATAATCCTGACATTTCTGTATCACACCAAGGAACTCCAAGGGAAAGTGTGCTCCTTCTAACCGGAGTAGCACACATATGGGAATACAAAACGTCAAGAATCGCAATCGGTTGGAATACTTTTTGACACAGGCGCAGATCAGTCCTTTATAAGCCAGAGATTAACGGAAGACTTAGGACTTGAGTGTGGGGAATTCCACTACTTAGAAATGTATACTTTCGGGGCAAACAGTCCAAAAAAATCGCAAAATGCCGCTGTGACCTCCATTAGATTGTGGACAACCCAGGGAGAAATGCACCAAAATGCCGACGGTATACGACTCATCTTGACATCCGAAAAAAAGGTCACACCAGCTCGGGCCAAGAAGACCATCACTTTCATTAACGCAAAGAGTTATTCTCCTTTCCAACATCATGGCTTGTACGACAACTAAACCACAAATTCTCTTGGCCTGTGATCAGCTATGGGACTTGTTAGAAGTTCCTCACCGCACTATACGGTTTTCAGGTCAGGCTGAAGAATGTATTGACCATCAAAGCTGGGATACCTTCTAACGGGGAAACAACAACTGAATGAACTTCACGCAACGTACAGCCTTAACACTCAACCCAGCATGATTACAATGATCAAAACGCTAACCGAGGAAGAAAGATATCTACAATGCTGGGACAAATATTGGACAATGGATTCAGCAGGGATATGTGAGTTTACAGGCACAAAGGACGCCGAAAAAACGGCAATCAACGAAAGGGTCTCCAAGTTTTTCGATGAGACAATTGAGAAAAGAAGTGATCGGTATTACGTTCGCTTACCCTTCAAAGATAACCACCCCTCACTTCCAACCAATAAAGCTATCGCACTAAAACGCCTTAACAGTGTCATAACAATGCTGAAGTCACAACCTCAAATTTTAGCTGATTATGACAACACCTTCAAAACCCAACTGGAGAAGGAAATTATAGAAGAAATCCCAAAAGATGACTATGAGGAAGCGAGCATCACTCATTATATCCCACACCAACCGGTAATCACACCGAACAAAGAGACTACCAAGCTGCGCATAGTTTTCGATGCTTCATCACACTACAAAGATCGCCCCTCTCTCAAGTTCTTCACCAGGGACATTTGATTCTCCCCGAGCTTTACGCAGTACTTCTACGCTTTCGAGTATCCAAGTACGTGGTTACTTCGGACGTAGAAAAGGCATTCCTCCAAGTCCGTTTACACGAGCGGGACAGAGACGTAACAAGGTTCTTCTGGGTACGGGACTACAACAAGGAGCCCGAGGGAGACAATGTCATTACGTACCGCTTTACAAGAGTAACGTTCGGGCTTAATGTATCCCCATTCTTGCTGGGAGCCACCATACAATACCACTTACGCAATATGGGAAGCTGACACCCAACTCGGAAATGAGATTCGCAAAAATTTGTATGTGGACAACCTTTTGTTGACTGCCGAAACAAAAGGTGACGCAATAAGCAAATCCGTAAACGCCAGAAAAATTTTCAACGATATGAGCATGAACTTACGGGAATTCCTCTCTAACAGTGCGGATATCACTACAGCGTTGCCAGATGACGCATGCGCCAAATCCAGGACTCAGAAAGTACTCGGCATAAAATGGAACAGTGAAAACGATACACTTTCTATCCGCTGTGATATTCCAAAGACAACCAGTCTAACAAAACGCATAGTGGCGCGACAAATAGCCTCCATATATGACCCCTTTGGGTGGATGGTACCCTTACTTACCCATTGAAACGATTCCAACAAGACCTTTGGAGGCACAAATACGCATGGGATACAGTACTTCCACCACAAGTGCAAAAAGAATGGGAAACGCTCACTTCCAACGCTCATGGCTTCGAAAAATCATTCGAGAGAAAATTCATGAATGACGGCAATCATTGCGGCCTGGCAATCTTCGCAGACGCAAGTGCCATGGCTATGTCCGACATGCGCTTATCTTTTCAAGGAGAGAGACTCAACATTAGTTATGGCGAAATGCAAATTACCTTCTCTACACGCAAACACCACAATCCCAAAAATGGAAATGAACGCAATCACCATAGCTGTGCGCTTGGCGCGTTCCATATTTAAAGCACTTGAAAGCAATTTAACTCATAGACCCTTCGACATTTATGTCTTCTCAGATTCTCAAATTGCGCTGTCATGGCTATCTACACCACCAAACTGCACAAACGTCGGGGTTTTAGTGAGTAACCGACTTAAGGAAATACGCAATATAGTGGAAAACCCTCAATGCTGCATCAGTTTCAGTTCATTTTTCTTTCGTAAAGACAACTGATAATCCAGCCGACGCAGGGACGCGGGGTTTGACAAAAGCACAACTATCAGAGCACATGTGGTGGAAGGGACCAAAATTCTTACGCCATCCC